CCCCCCCCCCCCAACACCCTAAACCTAAACTTTCCCCACGTCAAGATTCAGGTGCAGTAATGTGGATTCTATTCCGTTGCAGTCCCTACGTAATTATGCTATGCAGTATATAATGTACCCCAACACCTTATCTAGAAACCCACCCTTTCACTCAGCTTCCATTGCAGTTTCCGTATGTTTCATGTGAATTTCCACCAATCTACCTCTAAACCCCGAACCCTACATGCCCCCATCTACACTTTGTGTAATCCCTGTACACCTCTACATGATCTCCATTGCGCTTGAGGCATCCTGGTGGGCATTGCAACAACTCTGCAGACGACTACCGGCCAGGCGTTCGGAGCGCGCAACTTTGAAGAGGTATCGCTGAACCTGGACTTGGAGCTTGGGTTGGGGCCTGGAGTGTACGATTCAAGGGTTAAGGGTGTAGGATGTAGGGTCTAGGGTTGATGATGTAAGATTTAGGGCTTGGAGTGTAGGGTTCAGTGTCTGTGGCTTAGGGATTCAGGTAACCCTGAACCTGGAGCACCCGTAACCCTCATTGAAGTTTTATGGTGTATACAGTTGAACCTCCGAGTTGCCTGGTTCTTAACTAAGCTCGAGGTTTTTGGGGTTGCCGGTAGAGCTTGGTGTAGGGTTGTAGAGCCTGCCTGGACCCAAAAGTATATGGAGAAATGTTTTCGTTCGGTCTTTTGGCTACTAGCTTGCCTACCTATGTGTCATTTTGAGACTTGATGTTATTTCTTAGCTGGGTAGGTGCTGTAGTCCTGCCGCACTTTTGGCAAGGTATTTGCGGGACTAGAGTTTGGGGTGTAGGGGTTGCAGAAGGGTCAGTACAAGCCATTTTCAAGAAGTGAAAGCTCACATATGAGAGTGCTTCACAGCAATCCAAGTATTAGCTTTCTCAGGTTCCTTCAGATTCTTCCCTATGTTAGAAGCCTGGATATGCCTAGGAGCCATATAACGGCCATTATTCGGGAATTCCCAACGTACAAAGGACCCAAGACGATGTGTTCTTGTTTCAAAAATGTTTGGAGATTTCAACAGCTTAAGCAGTTCCACGACCGCACTCCCACCCTAGATATGTCTGCACGCACCTTCATAAGCCCATGTAGTACCAAAAAGCTCGAGCATGCTCTCTGACCTGAACCCAGGAGCCTCCAGCGATGCTGCCTGCTTTGTTTGGTGATGCTGGGACTCATCGCTGCCTTATGGCTTTGTCGCTAGGTTCTTGTTGAACTTCAGCACATTTGCCAGGGCTGATACACGCAGTGTCCAGCGATTTTTTGAAACTAGGTTTACGGAAGGACTGTTGGGGTCTATTTCAGTAAAATCGACCATCTTCCCAAGTCTCAACTATGAAGATAAGCTACGTACATCAAGCTCTAAACTCCTAAAGCCTGAGCGATAGAAACCTGAGGCCCAAAACCCGTCCTGAAAGGTAGCGAGCCTCTTCTGCTTGCTGTGGGCCAAGAGAAAGCCGTAGCTGCCCTGGCAGCCAGGCATGCGGGAGCTGAAACGAGTAATGCAGGGCGGGTAATTATTTTGGCTGTGATGGCATTGAGCGGTTGAGATGGCGTCAGCACTTCGAGTAGGGTCTCGATGCAGCATTGGGCTATTTGACTGACATATAGATGAAAGAAACTAATTATAAGAGTGAACTAAGAGAATTCGTTCAGGTTTCTATGGCATGTCTGTGCAAAGACGGAGTTCATTCGGCTTGGGGCATGCACTTCGCAATTATGCTTCAGGTGGATAGTCCAAAATCTGAGATTGTAACAGACTGCGTTTTTGCCCAGGGGATCGCACGTGTAAGATATTGGGTCCTGTGCAATTATCAGTACTGCTGGTGGCCAAGGCATCTCCTGAAAGAAGTTCAGTACGTCCGTTGATCCCGAAAGCAAATCTAAACAAACTGAAGGGGTGGTTTGCGCTATGGGGTAGGTCAGCCTTTGGCCTGCGCACACCCCAAACTCAAAAGTAAGGACTACAACACTTCGCCATGCCCTTATATGCCCGCCCCTGCCAGGTCGTCTTGTGTTATCAGGTACCTCAATGATCAAGTGCTGGACCGCCCGTCCCCTGTGATGCACAGGACGAGTGACGAGTTGGGAGGGTGCGCAGGGACTGAGTGCCCGCCGTACAATGATATGCCCAAGGGCATGGGGGGTCCAGACGGCCAAACTCTGACCTGCTTGGACATTTGCAGCCAAACACCTTCCTTGTGTTTCTCTATGCATGTGGTGTAGATCCCGTAGATTCAGGGTTGTTCGAATTTCCTTGTCCCAGACTGCCGCAATGTAGAAACCAAACAAGCAGCGGCATTGCCTAACAATTCCTTGTAAGATAATGCGACCTTAAACCCTATCCCAAAAGCCCTACTCTGATGATTTTGGAACCTGCATTCTTCCCATATGCGTCGTGCTACCTACCGCTCTTGCAAGGAAGTCCTGAGACCTCTAAGCCCGAAACCTGGACACCCTGAGGCCTTCAACCTGAACCCCCCTAGACCATGAACGTAGAAGCTTAAAAGGGTTAGGACAGTCAGGGAAGCCTTACATTGATAAGTGTGTCGTTATGGAAAAACATATCCTCAACTCCATCCCAGAATCGTAAACCCTAATCACGTTGGCGACGTCACACCCATCACCTGTCTTGCAGGTACCTGAGATTTCTCTTGCCAGGTGTTTGCTGCTTGAGCAAGGTTCGGCATTCCTGCTTTGAGTTTGGGCCTTTTGCGTATAGATAGTATTTTAGCGTCAGTTTTTTGTTGTCTTACAGATGTTCAGTTGCAAATGGAGGAATGGGTTGTGGCATTTTCGTGGGACACTATCCTTTCCTTCTTTCCAGGTAAGCAATAGGGGTGCTGAAAATGAGGACTCTATTATTTCCCATAGCATGTTACGTTGGATAGTTGCTGGGCATAGTGCTAACAGGCAACTCTCTCCAAAACAGGGTGGGCCCATATACCTCCAACATGTTGCACTCCTTGTTGGAAGACCCTCCAAGTCCAAAGCGCGCCAGCAATTTGAGAGACCTTTAATCCAGTTCTTTGGTGTCCTTGGGAACTGCCATCATTGTATTCAAGGCTGACAGCTTTGTGAAGTGCTGAACTTGTCCTCACATCATTTGGGCTACCTTTTTACCCCTTTTAAAGTCAGGGAGTCTACATCAACGATATTTACTAAAGGCCCAACAGCTGACCTCCTGCACCCTTAGCACTGAACCCTCATAATTCTCAACTCTAACCCCGCATGCCTACGTCACTGAATCCAAGGCTGCTACCTCGTCACGCAGTGCTTGCAGAACTGGCTTGCAGCGCAGCGAATGACAACAGTACAAGCAACTGGTGGTCTTCTGCTCGCTGCTGTGTACCTTCCACTGCGACTGGGGCATTCCAATTCCCAGGGTTACATGGGAATTATAGCGAGATTACATAGGGAACATGTAGGATTGTGTGTGTGGATCTCTTTAAGTTTGAGGGTAAAATAGCTCCAAAAAAGGTCAATCAGATGGAAAAATTCAAGTGGAAGATACCATGGAAGTTACTAAAATTATGCCATTCAAGGTTTAACGCTGATTGGGCAACTCCGTGGGCTACCGTCTGCCGAATTATAGGTCTTGACAGGGCCCTTTTTCTCGTGAACCGCCTCGGCAAAGAATGCCCCCTTGAATATTCCCGTTCTTATATGGTTCGTGAAATGATATTGGGAGTATTTATTAGAGAGGTAAGGGATTTTACTAGGTGAGCACCCCCTCAACTCCCAAAATCCCAAACACTAAACTATTGGGCGACAGTAGATCTAGAAAGTTGAGGTGCTGGGCTTTGGTCCATCCTCTCAACCTGGGCTTCATTGGTGCTGCGATCGCAACTTGACTGTCCTTCAAGACGTTTGATCCATCCCGCAGCCTCATTTACAGCACCCCCCCGCCCCCCCATCAATAGAATATATTACCCGGTATGATGTCAACTACAAGCCAAAATGGGGAATATGATTCATGGTGAGGATATTTGGGGATGTTTTGCAATAGGGAAGGGGATCATTTGTCTCCATGGTGTGCCCAGCATGAACCCTCTTCTAAACCCAAGAAAACCCAATCGCTGAAATCCTCAACCCTAGATATTGCGCAGTGTTGCCAAACACCCCCACCCCTATGGTATGGTCCTTGTTGTTGCCTGGATCCAGGGACCTGGACCCTCCGCCCCCCGCCCCCCTGGTGTGACGGGTGTTTATTCCCCATGGTATGGTGTTTGTGACGGTGTGGTTTGGATCCTTGTTGAAATCAGGTCTTCAGAATGGTCGTCCCCTTCCCCTTCTGTGGGCGTGTGTAGGTGGTAGTCTTTAGGATTTTAAAGACATGTCTAGGGCACTCGCAAGTCTAGTTGGTGTGGGTTCCTGGTGTTGCCCTCTCAAGCATGTTCTCTCTATTGGGAGGGAGTAAGGTCTTTCCCCTGCCCCCCAAGTTTGGGTGGCTTTCCCACTCCTGCCATGTAGCATTTCTGAAATTGACTGTCACTCTGCAGCAAAGGGGGGGTCGTCCTGGTGGAAACAACATTGACAAGGAGTTGTCTGAAGCCCTGTAGCGATTCAGCGTTGAATTGTTGTTTATGCCGCTTAGATTTGTTCCCCTGCGCCCTGTGGTGTGGTGGTTATCTCCGCGTTGGGGGACATGCGCCGTTGCCGTGTGACTATTGGCACGTCTGAGATCTGCAAAATCATAAACCGTGAAACTTACAAGGGTTCTGACGAGGTCACCGGCCATCCTAGTCACCAGTTGGTACTTTGGAGATTGGCGACAACAAAAAATCACCATAGTTATGAGACTGGCGCCCCTGAGGATTCAAAACCTACGTAAAAACAAGGACAGCCATGAGGATGCTGAATTGCACGCACTCCCACCGTCCCTGTGATTGTTCGCACTATTACGGGGCCCGGGCCGGGGATCAGGGGACCATTTCAGGGGAGCTACCGAAATTGAACAAATTATGGCAGGCATGAAGCTGATAGGCCTCACTTATGGGGTGTAGCAGATCCCGTGCAGTACCCTGCGAGAGGTTCAGTCTCGGCATGTCTCAGCCACAACTCAGACAGGTGCTGTAGAGAACCTTTATAAAGAAGGGCGCATGCCGTAGAAGGTAGTTAAGAAACAAATCCACATGTAAAAGACTTCCATCCGGGGTCATTCTGGTAAAAATGTCGTGCGGCGCGATCTAAACTGAACACATTGTGAGCTCCAGCGCGTGGAGGTGCTAGATCCTGAGCCCGAAATCCTGAATCCTAGATATCAAGTAAGCTTGCAATCCCAGACCTTCTACGCCTGAAATGGAGATTCTCCAAATTATGTCGCAGAACGGCTTACAAGGGACCTGATAATTTTTGTTAGCCCGCATGTATCCCTCTTGGCCCTCTGTCTTGTACCGATTACTGCTATCATTCCCGTCTAATTTTTGCTACTCGGGTGTTCGCTGGAACCTTGTTCTGATTGTTCAGGCCCCCACATCAACTTGATAAACAAAACATCAATACAACGACACATGTCCTCATGTGTGTATGTGTATATATATTTATATATTTGTACATACTACAATGATTAAAATGGTAACTGTGCTGGAAGTCATAGTATGAATGAGAGTAATGGAAATAGCAATAATCACACGAATGAGAACCCAATATTCCTAGTATTCATAGAATCGATATCATTGTCATATTTGAACGTCGTAGTAGCAGAAATAGTAATACTCGAAGATAACAAGTCGTAGAATTCATTGCCATAGCCATAGTATTATTGAAAGTGATGAACATCATAACAACAGTCGTAGAACCACCGCGACCACTGCCGGCGATGACGACGACGATGACGACGATCACGGCCACAACTACTACGACCGCGACCACCCTGACCACCCTGACCACCCTGACCACCACGACCACCACGACCAGCGTTATCACCTCCACCATGATCACCACCACCAGTACCACCACCAGTACCACCACCAGTACCACCACCAGTACCACCACCAGTACCACCACCAGTACCACCACCAGTACCACCACCACCACCACCAGTACCACCACCACCACCACCACCACCACCACCACCACCACCACCACCACCACCACCACCACCACCTGCTGCTGCTGCTGCTGCTGCTGCTGTTGCTGGTGGTGGTGGTGGTGGTGGTGGTGGTGGTGGTGGTGGTGGTGGTGGTGGTTATACTAGTAGTTGTCGCCGCAATACCGTTCTCAATCCTTAAAGATGACCTGTTGTTTTAGTCATGGTCTCAGTATTACTGGGAGCCGTAGCAGTTCGCAGACCATTATTGAAGACGGCAGATAAGTCATCGCCCTCGTAAAAATTGAGAGTGATGAGAATACTATCAAGAATAGGAGATCAACAACAGAAAAGAACACCATCACCATTGGAAAACAACCCTATCACTGATGGAAAAGCCCAAGTCCTTCTACAGCCCAGGCCACCTCCCTGAGCAACGGAGCCCTTGCTTTGTGGTCGCTCGTCAGCTTTTCTACACAGGTTCAGGGCTTGGGGCTTAGGGGAAAGCAAAGTTGAACCAGGTGACATGTTATAGTCTCCTCTAATTACTGTTACTTTTATGGATAACACTTGTGGTTTGTAGTATACCTGCCTAGATTGAGGGTTTAGGGTAGAGGGTCAGCAGGTCTTCTGGGGCAATGTTGGGACTTGAATAGGAAAGTATTCAGTGGAGATCCCAAATTCTTCATCCACATCTGAATCAAACAGGACTGCGGCATCCTTTGCTATGAGCCGTTTAAGTTCCGGAAGCTGTTGTTGAGGTCGGGTTCAGGACTTGTGGCTCCAGGGCTTCGGGTTTCGAAGTTGAGGAATTTTGGTTTCCGATGTTTGTCATTTGAGAAAAGGGTTGACATGGCGTTGCTCCAAGATTTTCACGCCCGAGGGTCTAGGTACCTGAACAGTAGATATTTGGGGCTCCGAAGGGGTTCCCACGTACATAAAAATAGAATATGGGTACCTTGATTCTTTGGAGCTGCGTTTCCCTGAGCTCACAGCAAAAGTGACTTGGCCACCCTCCACAGGGCGAAATAGGGGATGACAAGTGGTGGATCTAGGGATCTGGAAAATTGTTCAAAATGAGGTTGTAGGGTTTCCTTAACCTCAAATTGCACCCCCGAAGCCTAGCTCACCCTAAACCCTAAACCCTAAAAACCCTGGACCAAATGGATCCACTCATCTCCCCCAGCCCTCTAGCCCAACCCCTGAGGATGGTCCAGACCTGCAGTCCTTAAACTCTGGGATCCTATACTACACCTCCCCTTACTTCCAATCCCCCAAGTAAGGAATAAATAAGTTAAGCACCAACTAGGCCGTTTTTGGTGATTTTTGGGGGGAAGGGTAGTGTGAATCCCATTATAAGACCTGGGGTCATACCTACTTCCAATGCCAAAACTCCCAGACATCATTTCCCAAACGCTCCATGATCAAAACTCTGGAGCTTCATCTACATAAACTACACCAAATCTAAACCCAAAGTCCTAGACCCCAAATCCTAAAGCCTAAGCCTTAAATCCTAGACCCCAAACCCTTATAACTAAACCCCAAGCCCTCAACCCTGGACCCTTTGCGAGCCCCAAGCTCGCACCCCAAATTTGTCCCTCGGAGCATCCCAACTTTGCGGCCGCTTATGAAGCTAGAAAGGTTAAGGCTACGCCCTGAGCCTTTATTCCTTACACTCAAAACCGAAGCCCTGAACCCAATGCCTCAAGGTTTGGGGTTTAGGGGGGTTAAGGCTTTATAGTCCCCCTTAAGTAGATAGAATATGGGGTATATGGGGATCTTGTTGTATTATACCCGAAGCCATATTCTATCTACTTAAGGGGATTATATAGCTTAGGGCCAAACTGCAAAGCATGTTGCAGGATGGTCTTCCGCACCTTCAAAGCGCTCCGGCACGAGCTGCCTCGCTCGTGGCAGGGCCTCTCCAGATCTGCCTTCACCGCCTGGACCCCCTTCCTGAAGCTGGGCAAAAAGATTGGATAATCCTCTCCCCCTAATATTAAATCCCCACCCCCCTTATATTGAATACTCCAAATACATTATAATGTACCACCATGAGGGATATTTGATATTAGAAGGGATGCTGGGGTTTAATATTCGGGGGAGCGGACTGTTTCTGGGGGCATGTTGGGGATGCAACCAGGTTATGTACTATATAGGGCCATGATTAACCGAAACCCTAATTTCGAAGCCCTGGACCTTAATCCTAAATCCTGAAACCCTACAGCTTCATGAAATGGATTTGAGATGGGAGGGCCCATGCAGAGCACAGTTGAGCACTGGCTTCAGATCAAAGGTTTCACTTGCACCCCTAGGGTTGCACCCCTGGATTATGGGATCCTTTACAGGGACCCTAGAAAACTACATTAACTCATATTAGGGCCATATTGGGGAAACCTTTTAGGGGTACGACCTTAGGGGTACAGCCCAAGGACCCTTGATCAGAGGTGAGTGTAAGAATAATAATTTTTGTAGTGATAGACCATTACCGTTAAACATTACAGCTAATATATTACGATGGTTACTACTGTTATTTTTTGGTTGCTATTATGATGACATCTAGTATGGTTATATAGTATTATTAGTCGTACTCACCTCAACGTGCCAATTAAATGAAGAAAAGGTCCAATAAACAAAGCCTACGTCCTGAGCCCTCAACCCTTAACCTTAGAGGTAACCTGAAACCCTAAGACTCAAACCCTGAACCCTAAGCACTAAACCTTAAAGACCAAGCCCTAAACCCTACAGTAACCCCCCCCTCCCAACCTTCTGAAAATATCATCGCTCGACCCAGGAAGCTGGCGGTACCAAACTTCTTGATGATCTCAGCACTTTGGCAGAGCTTGTGGCAGGGAGGTTTGCTGGCATAGGTCGACGGATTCGGGGTCTAGAGTGTCGAGATTCAGGATTTGGGCTTAGGCATTTAGGGTTTAGGGGCGTAGGGTTAGGGGCTTGCTGAATAGTCTAGTGTTTAAAAACATGAGCTACCACACCCTAAACCGAGGACAGCTGGCTTCAAAGTATAGTCTCTAAACTATAAACCCTAAATAGTAGCTTCCATTTGCTTTTCCTTTATCCCTATATATCCCCTACATAACCCCTACAATTTTGTATAAGGGTCATACAGGGTAAGCAGAGCAGGGGTGCCTTCTAGGGTCCCTCCTAGAACCCGTGATTTTCGGGATCTTGGGGTTGCGATGTATTTTTTCATGGATTTTTTTCGCCTAGACTTCCTGTCTGCACCGGAATCGTGCCCCGGATGGAACACAATGGTAGCAAGTCTTGTGACAACAACAGCTGGCTGTAGGTTGTGAGGGGTCATTAGCTCCATTGATTTATTTTTGGGGTTTCCAGCACTGAGGGCCCCTTCTGTAAAAGCCCCTGCAACGAGGACTGTGGTATATAGGTGTCCATATTGGCATATAGGTCCCCCATAGGTAGAAATCTCCACATTGCAGGATCAACCCTAAACCCTAAACCCTAAACCAGCATGCAGGAATGGTGGGCCGCTGAGATCATCGTCTTGATGTCGGGCACTCTGCCAGAGGCGGAGGCCGTGCACTGTTTACTTGTTCTAACTAGGGAATAAGGAAACAGACTCCCTATATGGTCCCAATATAACATATTCCCCTATACCCTACTTACCCTAAACCCTCATCCCTATGTAACATATTCCTTCGTTCCCTACTAAGAACCAACAGTTTAGGGTTTAGAGGCCTACCGCCTACCCTTTTGGGCCAGACGTCTGGGAACTCATCTTCAGAGATGATCCATAATCCACCTCTAGGCTCCTGCAGCTTCAGACCCTTGGCTTGAGTCATTCTCACATGGGGGTTTCCCGACATGAGTGGCTTCTTCTGGGAGGCTCTATAGCGGAGATGCTAGTATTTGGGGGGTTATGATCCTTGGTGACCCCACCTTTTTCAACTACCCAAATGGGAGGTTTCTCAAAAAGAGGGACTGTAGCATGGAGGTAATTTCGATGATCTCATCAACTTCCACCACATGTTCGGCATGCTGTTCGGAACATCATACCAGGGTCCCGTTGCATCTCAAGTGGAGGCCCTGTGTGGCACGCCTGTACCCAATCCCATCATGTCTCATCTCCAAAAATGGGGAACGATTGTACCCCGAAATATGATCATTCGTACTGGGACCCGTCAAAAATGAACCGAATTGCTTGAAACCATCATCCGAGGCGGACAGGGTTGGACCTACAGCAGAGACAAGGGGACCCGGAAATTTGGAAGTCAAACTTGCTAGGGTCTCCGGTAAGCAAAGCTTTGGTTTTGGCAGGTGAGCCTGACGTCCATGGCCATCTTCTCCAACACCTGTTCAATTTGTTGCCAAGCTTGATTGGATACCCTGGCATGCCCTGACCATTGCCAGAGATTCCGTTTGGTAGGTTGTCAGAATTATGCTCCCTTCTTGGGTCCATGCTAGGATGCGGCCCCAAACTATAATGTAGGCTACCCAAGCAGGGACGAGAATTTTGAGAACCTCCCCCCAGTTGCCAAGAGTCAGAGATGCTCAAGCGAAGCAGAGTGTTTGTAAGGAGACAGTTCCTTGGCCATCATCGCTTAGGAAAGGGTGATGTAGGTATCTACCTGGCATGGCTTAAGGGCTCACAATGCTGACCCTGTTTAAAGGCTCGTGCTTCTTTGGCTGCATGCTTCTTTGCACTTCTCTTCATCCCTGTCCAGGGCTCTGTGGCATATTGGGTTGCTGTCAAGGAGTTTGAATCAGGTTACCATAGTTGTGTGTATATATACATAGAGACAATCAGATGGTATGGTATGCTTGTTACGGTAACTTAAGGTGAGCTCCTGAACAGCAACCAAGTGTAGGGTCGGGGTGTAATCACCCCTACCGATCTCTTCAGTGTAAGATCCGCATGTAGGAAATTCGTCGGCGCGCCCTTTAAGTACTAGTACATGTATGCATGTATGTTTTTTGGGTGGAATCTCGGGTTCTCCTCCTTACCCACCTACACGGTTGAATTTGGCAAGCCTTTGGAAAGCCCAAGGCTTCATGCCTCCATTGAGTTGGGGTATGGCCGCGAATCTCGGCAACTGACAGCCGAAGCGATTGTAATGTCTTCTGCGTGGAAATCTGTCACTATCCTTGGAATAAGAATTTCCTTATGCAAGTGGCACGATGGAAGGTGTCCTTTGGCTCTCATGACCATATCAGAAACCCTGCATGCGAGAGGCGGATCTTGTCAACGGTCATCAAAGTAGGCTATACTTTCCTATGGCAAGGAGAGGAAGCTTCTGTTGTCAGAGCTTGCGAGATTTGGCCGTGCTTTCAATTTCATGTGATGCGTGTATCCTTTTGTTGTCGTGATTGGGAGTGGTTGAATCGTTCTGTGCCCTACATGGGGCTGAGCATGCGCGGCACAAACAAGAGGCTTATTATAGGTACCAAAAATCATTTCCGCCGTAGTATTTGAAACCTCAAGCCCCATAATTTGGGTCTTTTGACCTTGAGGGTACTGGAGACTCCGAAGTGAAAGATGATGGAGCCAGGGATGGCTAAGTCCGTATCGTAGAAGCTTGAAAACGAGGCAGGTTATTTTCTTTGAACCCTGTTGTGTTAAGGGTTTTAGGTTTAAGGGTTTAGGATTTAGGGATTCTAGCTGGGTTGGCCTTTTGGGATATTAAGAAAACTTCCCATATTCGTTTCATGGGGACCCTGTATGCTCATAATTTGCAAGGGCTCCAAAGGCCAATCAAGATATAGAGACCCCATTCAGACTATCCAGGCCCCTATCTTATGCACCTGCAAAAAATCAAGTCTGTGCCAAGGCCTGTCCAGAGAAAGCCCTCAATGGCTGTCAGCCTTAGATCCTTAGGCCATAGGGATTTAGGGTTCAGGGTTTAGGGTTTGGGGAATTTGGGTTTGTGGTTTGGGGCTCCTAGGGCTTTCTAAGGTTTGCATGTGGAGAAACCTTTGGGTTACAGAGACACACCAGGAATTGCCGCCTCTACGTGTAGTTTCCATAAATGGGGGCCCCATGTGCACCCCAAATTACAATACTCTTTATTGGACATCCAGAAGAGGGGTCCCAATTTGATTTGGAAAGCTTAGCCCCATAATCTACCATATAATGCAATTTTCCATGTCGCTGTGCGTTTGCTTTGCCTTTTGACGCTCCTCTATGGGGATACTGGTCCTATATATCGTTATATAGTCCCTTTGAAGCCCAAATAACCGCTACACAATTCTATTACTCTATGCAGCAGTGAGACTGTTCGGGTAGGTCCTTTGCCTAATTCGTGGTAGGTCCTGTTTAAATGAGAGTTGCTGAACTGTATATAACCCCAAACTACGGTCGCTATTGCAGGGGCTACTTCAAGCGGACGCCGAAATTTTGGAATCCCCGCAATCCTCAACCTGCAATATTTACTGGGGTCCAAGGTCAACCCACTCCAAAGCCCCAAACCCTTGACCCTAAAGCCACATGATAGTCCTGGAACACAGCCACGATAAGCTTGGGATTCTCGTTATCCCAATGCACAACAATTTATCCCTGTTATGGTCATAATATGACCGTTATGAGGTCCTTACATAGTCCTATGAGGAACACGCGAGTCAGCAATGAGCTGGGTGCTGGCAAGCCCCGTGCTGCGAAGTTTGCTGCGCAGGTGAACTATTGGCCGGGTGCCCCAGGCTAGGAGTAAAGCTTGTAAGGTTGAGGTAGGGTTTAGGCCTGAGTGATGGATGCTGCAAATCCTGCATGACCTTGAGATACGGAGACTGAATGTCCATAACTCCCAAGGTTTAGGGTACTTAGGATCACCCATGCGTGTCAGCGGTATCAAAAATGGGGATGCAGCTTGAAGCCATGATGTGAGGCAAGGTTTTCAGTAGTCTTTTGCTCAGTGTATGTGCGGTGCCTTTGAGCAAAAGTTGAGTTTGCATATGGGATGCCCTTGCAGGGGATGTTCGTCCTACCGTCAGCATCCGGAGTCCTCTAGTTCATCGCAGCATCACATTAGGAGACCTTGGCTTCACAAAGGGACGACCCGAAAGGTGCCCAAAGGCAAGCACCTTGAACATAGGGGCAAGCATCAGGTCGGCACGGTTTGACATGGTTCAGGGTTTAGGGTTTAGGGCTTAGGCTGCGAAACCTTTAACAAATTGCTGAGCTCTCTGCCAAACACTCGGCATCTGTAACGATAACCCCTAAACCAATTACTTCCCACACCGAAGCCCTTAACCCCAAAACCCCAAAGCCCTCTACCCACTTCCCTAACCCTATTCACTAAACCTGCACCGTTCAGGTCCGAGGACCCAAGTAGTAGGGTTCTAGCAACCAAGACCCATTCTCATTGTAGTTTTTGGACTACAAACCCATTATTTGGGAACGTGCACACTGAGGAGCAATTCCTCACCCTAAGCTTAGACCCTAAACCCTGACAACCTAAACCCTAAATCCTGAAAACCTAAACCCTCCACTCCAAAAACCTAAACCCTAAAAATTCACCAAAAGCCCTAAACCCTAAACCCCTAAACCCCTAAACCCCTAAACCCCTAAACCCCTAACCTCAACTCCCAGTTTGGGCCTCTGCCTGGTGGTCATCATCGCCCTGGCGGTGCTCCTGGGCCGAAGGGCTTGGCTCCGTCTTTTCACCTCCGAGGCCGAGGCAGCCAGGGGTTTAGGGTTTAGGGACTTAGGGTTTAGGGTTTAGGGTTTAGGGAGTTTAAGACTTAAGGTTTAGGGTTTAGGGAGTATACCGTAGGGTTTATAAAAGGAGTAGGGATGATTCTTGGGTTTAGGGACTATACTTTAGGGTTTAGGGTTGAGGGTTTATTCTTTAGGCTTTAGGGACGGTCAGGGACTATTCTTTAGGGGTTTAGGGAACATTCTTTGTGTTCAGGCTGGATACTGCCCCCACTCAGTAGCAGCTGGATAATAATTATAATATGGTTATATATATATATAGCCCTTAATAGGGCCCGTAATATAGACTGTTACTGGGTGGGGGCAGTACCCAATGTTCAGGGTTTATAATGGGGTTAGGGACTGTTCTTTAGGGTTTAGGGTTTAGGGTTTAGGGATTATACTTTGAGGATTTCGTGGCTTAGGAACCCTACGTGCTATCCCCACATAGCCCCTTTTCTGAATCCCAGAACCTGTGTTATTAACTAGACTTACTACGTCAGCAGAGCCTCCAAGTAAGAGTTTAGGCATAGAGTTTTTTTTGGCGGTTGTTGGGGGGTTTTGGGGTAAGGGGACCAGGGATAAGGATTTAAGGATCACGATTTGATAAATTTCGTGTTAATTTCAGGGGCTCCGGGGGGAGCCTGCTGGTTTTAGTGGTCTGTTCCCGCGAGGTTTAACACCTTCACTGTATGTATATATGTATATATAGATAGAGTGTTAGTATTGGGCAATAGTGGATGACCGTCTGCATGACGTATTTGATATTAGGGGCCAAGGTGTGTTGAACATGTAGGCGGCAGGGAGTCAGCGACACGGTTTCCGTTCAAATTTCTGGTTGCTGCGATGATGATTTGCCGACTTCCTTGCTACGATGTTTTTGTTCCGCTATACTTAATAGCACAGAAACTGTCCCCTGCGAGTGTGGAAAGGAGGGAGGGTCTTCCCACCACCAGTATCCTGGAGATCTTTATCACGGTTAAGCTTATGATTTGCTGCTGTAACTGTGCTGCTAGAGTAGGGTGGCTATGGGAGGCGTGTGATTCGGCTGTCATGGTGTAAGCTTAGGGCTTCAGAGTCTGAAGGCTTACATTGACTCCAGATAATGTCTTAACCCAAGGAGCCCTAGTTCATTAGTAAGTGTCCTCTGGTTCATAGGTCCACCCCACAAAATTGTAGGTGATCGGGCTACAGGTAGGTACAACCCCCTGAGCTCTCACCCCTTGGTGGCATAATGTTCGCAGAACGGTTTAGGGGCGTTGTGGGTGTTGAGCTTTGTGGTCTGTCCAACTTGATTTAAGGACTTCCATGACGGGTTCGTATGGGGCGGAGCTAGTTGTGGGACTTGGGTCCGTTTAAAGCTCAAAAGTTGAAGAACAAACTCGGCAAATACTGATTTTGGACTGGATAAGGTGTTAGACTACGCTGATCCCATCATGTCGATCTGTGCGATCTACGTGGCGCTGGACGGTATGTGCACTGTGCCTCTTAAAGCATTGGGAGATGTCTTGTCCTGTGGTTGCCCTCAGGTTCGAGCAGCCGTACGGTAATAGGGGCCCAAAGGTTACAGCCGGTGCTATGACACTGGAGATTAAAAGAAAGTGCAACATTAGTGGAAAATGTGGGAATGGATCCTTGTAGCACCCTTTATTTTGTTCTCTACATATATAGTTGTCCATAATTCATGCAGTCTTGCACTCCCGACAAAGCACCGAAGAGCAGTACATCACAATCCCCTCACACCTGAGGCTGCCTCTGGATCTTTGAAGGGATGCGGACGCGCCATGCCTAGCTTTGTGGATTTAGGGTTTCGGCCCTGCTTTAGAGGTGATTTGCGTACATTTTGGTTTGCCTAGGACCTAGTAGGATTACTCGGTCGTTTAAAGCTTGGGGCTATTTAGGATCTAGCAGTGGGTGTCTGGGTTGCAATGTTTGGGGATAGGGTCAGGGATTGCATAATGTCCATTTCGATCTGGGTTTGTGTAGGGTAGTAGACGGTTTTGGATCGTTTTGGGTTGTTTCACGATCTAACAGTGGGTTATTTAAGGTGTACTTTTTTGGGTGTAGGGTTCAGTGCTGCTCGGGGTCCATTTTGGGTTGTTGAGGACTCTAGCGTCTAGACATTTGTGCAGTGTGGGGCTGCTTTGGGGTTGACAAGGGTGAAGGGTTTAGGGGTCAGTTTTGGGCTGAGGTTCAAGCTTGAGGGCTCGGACGACTGGTAGTGTTTTATGGACAACGCGGCAATGCGATACGGAAATATGAGGTTTCTGCATGGCAGGCTGGCTATTTCGGACCTTAAGGGCGCACACCGTGGGCTATTTCAGACTGAGTCAAGTCGTAAGGTCGTAATTACACACTGCATAGACAGAGAGGGAGAGAGAGAGAGAGAGAGAGAGGAGATATAGAGAGAGAGGAGAGCGAGAGAGAAGAGAGCGAGACGGCGTGAAAGCTTCACTTCAACTAGGCCGGTGCTTCATGTCAGGGTGCTTCTTCCAGGGGCGCGAATAAGCTCACCAGGTGTTTTTGCACACGTCTAATGTAAGCATTTAGTATACATATATATATATATACACATATATCATGCCATCTTGAAATGGCTCAGGTTGTGCCCTGACGTGGACAAATTTTACATGTTCATTAGGCTTCTGCACAAACACAGAGCTTCACCATCATCAGACGGGAGTGTCAATCTGTGAGTTGCTGCCGAAGTGGGGCCTCAACTCGTACACGTGGCCACATACAGAGGAAGGATTGCACGTTGCACGGCTTGGGGACAAGAGTGCATGAGCGCAGGATTTGGCTTGTGTCTGGGAAGTGTGAGCATCAGGAGTGCAAGGAGATGGTATTTGGGCTTTGGAACCCCAAGCCCTAAACCCCTGAAGCCCTAAACTTCAAACCCCTAACGCCCTAAACCCCTGAACCCTAACCCCTGAACCCCTAAACCCTAAATCCTTGAACCCTAAGCCCTAAACCTGACCCCAAATCGCCATCAGCCCAGGGCAGCTCATCCTGGCACCAATTGTCATCTTCGCTTACTATGCAGCAGCTTGGATCTGGGCTATGCTTGGAGTTGATGGTTTAAGGTTTAAGGTTAAAGGTTTAGGTTTAGGGTTTATGGTTTAAGGTTTAGGGATTAGGGTTTAGGGATTAGGGCTAAGGGGATTAAGGTCTAGGGTGTAGGATTGAGGCTTGCATTTTCGGAGCCTAGAGAGTAGATTTGAAGATTTGGGAGTTACACTTAACACTTGGAGATTTACCAGGATGGACCAAGGCTTAGTAGCGATTGTGTCCTGGTAAGAGGTTCCTGGTGAGAGGCTAGCACTGCTTTCTTGGGTGCTGACCTTTCCTGATCCTATGAGATGGCTGGGGAATGTGGATGTTTCGGTTTTGTACATGATAACAAGGCTTTGGTAGCCGCCGCAACAGGAAATCTGGGGGATTATATGAGGATCCTACTTAGGGGGGAATATAGGGATCGGCATGGATAATCAGAAGATTTGGGTAAGCACAAGCCCGAAAATGGAGAATCAAATCAACATGGAATGCAAATTACACAGGTTTGATTTGAGAGCATATGAAGATGCTTGCTTTTCTTACTGGCGTTTGTCAAGTTGCCTTTCGGCAGCTCTGCCTCTCAGAACTCCCTCAGGTCTTTCATAAAGACTGCACTGTTTGTGAAGACCACAATCTTTCATCCTGGCATTATCAAGAGAAGCAACGCTCTTTGTGTTTCCTGGCTGGCTAGCTGGCAGAAACGACCCCTTCAGAGTAGGCAGGGCCTTTTGACCGGGTGGGCCCCTGATAAAGCTGCACCAGGCAGTGAACTACATGTGCAATGTCTCAGGGTCGGAGTTTGAGTCATTGACAGAATCCGAAACTCGTGCACTCTTCTTGTAACTTGAGCCTCAGAAACTGTTCGCAAGAGGTCCTGAGCGAGGCACATACTAAGATTGAGCTATTGGCTGAGGTGCCAGTTGTCCAAGCTGCTTCTTTAATAGTTGCACTTGGACACTGGCTTTCGCAGTTTCTCTGGGGTCATATAGGGGTTTCCCTGAATATGTGTGAGTCTGGGGGCTTGGCACAGGTTTGGTAGCTTTGGGCTCTCTTAAAACGCGACCGTGGCTAATTTTGCTGTTGCTGCTGTACACGATGCTGATCTGAAGGCCGCACAGAATGACGTAGGTGCTTTATTGCCTGAATTTGTGTAACCCCAATTACATTCAGGTGGGTTTCCAGAACTGTAAGCCCTAAAAAACCCAGGTTCTGGGGAATTTGTTTCAAAGGAAGTCACGCCCGAGGCAGGTATACCCAGCGGATGGGCGCTTGCGTGGCCAGGTCCCATCGCCAAAGGTTTTAGGGTTTATAAAGGTCTTGACCCCCCAGGGTCTAGGTACTTATATATAGTAGATACGTGCGGCCGACACAGTTTCCTATATGAGTACTTTGGAGCCTAAGTATACACCATAGAGATATGCAGACCTTTCGGGAGGGTTACGGTTACTGGATTGGGGTTGTTTCGCCTTCTCCGAAAATGATTCATGGCATGGTGGGCGCCTTTGCGGGTTTCTCGGCACAAAGCCGACAGGCATTGCAACAGAGGACGGGAAAGACTGCCGTCACAACAACGCATTCTAGTTCAGGGTTCCGAGTTCAGCCTGCTTGGAGTCTCACACTTAGTAAGAAGATTTGTTCAGGCCTTTCGCAACAAAAACCTTGGGTGCGATCTTCGCACAGGCTCAGGCAGGTAAGTTGCATCCGCAGCAGTTTCAAGATTGCTGCATAGAAGCAAAGAAAGGGCCTCCTATGGCAATTGAGCGACAATACTTACAGTTGTTGGGTATTACCCCCCACCCAATAACAGTCTATAATTTTGCTAATATTCAAGGCTTTATACAGTTAAACTGTAAGTATTATGCAGCTGTTGCTGAGCGGGAGCAGTATCCAACTTATTCATGACTCGCAGAGGTTCGGATGTGTGTAGGGGTTGGCCATGATGACACTTTCCCAGGGCCCCCAAGCCCTAGAAGACCGTCTCACTTGATGGGGTACCTTTTTGGCAGGGTCTTTACGAGGATGGTCTTTTAGCTTTTTGGGGTATGTAGGGGTTGCTAATGCTTGGAAACGATCATATGAGCCCTAGTCTCAACTCCTAGTATCTCCCTTAATATCCCCTATATAACTCCCCTTGAAGAAGTTACACTATGGCTCATATCATGGAGGACACCTCAGCACGCGCGGTCTGGCAATGGGATCAACCATCGGGACTGGTATTCACTGCATCTGCTTTGCAGCCGGGCCCTTAATCAGCTGAGCTATAATCTAAACTACCTGAGGTGGGCTATATAGGGTATATATGGGGCACTACTATAGAGGTTATTAAGGGGGATACTAGGAGTTTGGATCATAGCTAATCTTCCTAATGAGCGTTCTTGATTGACACGGCAGTTGCGCGATTTGGCAAATTGCTTGTCTACAGCGTGGAGTCCTCACATAACACAGATGGCCAGCCATCAGCCCACTAGGGCTTCTGTTGTGGCAAGTTACGCTCTAGGTATGTTCGGCTCAGATAATTTGTCAATACATTTAGCGGCCGTTGCTGAAGGAATTCGTGTGGATGTGCAATGGAATACTCTTGTGGAACTGTCGTCGTAGCTATTCACCTTCTCCAGTGTAATACCATCAGCGTTGTAGTTCTTGTGAGGCCCGCAGCAAGTCCCACTTGGACTCCCAAGAGCGGTATATAGGTGTTTCTCGGGATATGGAGACATACGAATATGTAGGGGTATATAGGGCACACAATGCATGGGTCTATCGGGGTGTAGAGCTTACCTGAATCCCCAAGGTCTGTAGAATAATTGCCTCTTGGACTAGTTTTTGCGCCACAAGTTTACATACTGTTGGGGTCAGGAAGTCCTGATGTCCCCCTTCTGCATCTACAGAATCTATGTAGAATTCAATATATTGACACGTGTTCATGTGACTCTTCTACATGTGAAAGTTCATATAACTTCACCCAAAAGACCGTTATAATAGGATCCTGAAGAGGGACTCCCAGATCCCCTCATCACCTTCATATACATGCATATATATGTATGTATATATATATATATGGTCACACCC